AAACTTTCTTACTGGACTAAACAATCATATGCCATATTCTTATTATGGAGCCAAAACCAAATATTCCCAGGGTGTTTAAGATTGTTTCTCACGATGAAAAGTAACTTCTCTGAAAAGCACAAGTGCTGTAGATTTTTATTGGTTTTCAAAATAACAACTTTAACGACTCATATGTTGGTTATACCAATGAATATACTTATAAGAATAAGACTTATCTTATATGTTTTCCACTGGGACTTAATAGGTTGTCAACATATGCTAGCTTTAAACATTGTCAACATATGTTATAAGCTTCTAATTGTTACAGATAATACCAAAAGAAAAGAATGATTATCCAACTCTTTCACCGACTTACTTAATGGCATTGTCACTACAACACGTTTTGTTCTATTATGAACATAAAGTTATGTGTTGTTAGTTTCATTTTACTATAAATAGCCATTGATCTTTTGCTTTGTATAAGGATAAGAATCTGCAGTTGAAATACAATAATGTAATTAATCTCTTCTCTAGTTCTCATATATACATAATATAATGTGATCATTAGTGCTCTCTCTCGTTATATAATCTATAACATGTTATCATCACAAAGCTCTGATCTTATATTGATGAGAAAGAAAGCTAGACTTTGATTTTATGGATGTAGACATATGTTAGGCAGATAGTGCATCAACACATGATAATTAAAGATACGAAATATTTCTCTAGTCTTAAAATGAAAGATTACACTGGAAGCGTAAGTACAATATCTGGTTATGCGAAGATTATTATGGGTTTTGAAAGAGTGAAATTTTCAATATTAGGGGAAATGATACTTGAAATAAGTGATGCATTATATTCCCCTGAGTCTCATAGAAAATTGTTAAGTTTTAAGGATATCCTGAGGAATGGATATCATATTGACACTATGAGTAAACATGTCATTGAATTTTTTTGCATTAAGTCCGAGAGGAAACATATACTGGAAAAGTTAAGAATGTTATCTCTGAATTTTATTGTACGAAAATAAACATGATTGAGTCATATGACACAGTAAACATAAAGTTTATTGATACTTTTAGTCTGGCATGAAAGGCTAGGACATCCTGGTTCAGTCATAATGAGGAAAATAGTACAAAATTCAAATGACCATTTCGTTGAAAGCAGAAGAAATATGCAAACGAAAGAGTTTACATGTAATCCATGTTCTCAAGAAAAACTTATAACTCGGAAATCACTAACAAAAGGCAGTGAATCACCAATGTTTTTGGAAATAATAAATGGAGATATATATGGCCCGATCCACCCACTGTGTAGGTCGTTTAATTATTTCATGGTATTGATTGACGTATCTAATATATGGTCAAGTGTGTGTCCTTTGACGACAAGAAATACGGCTTTCGCAAAATTCATTTCCCAAATAATAAGACTGAGAACACATTTCTCATAATATTCCATTAAGAAAATAAGGCTTGATAATGCTGGTGAAGTTACATCGCAAGCCTTTAATGATTATTATATGGCAGTGGGATTGATGTAGAGCATCCAGTTCCCCATGTTCATACACAAAATGGCATGTCCGAGTCATTGATAAAACGATTGTAGTTAATTGCAAAACAATTGATATTGAGAACAAAGCTCTCAATTTCAGTATGGGGTCATGCTATTTTTCATGTAAATGCAATGATTCGGTTAAGACCGAGTGCATATCTTAAGTACTCCCCATTATAATTAGCATATGGGCATGAGCCATATTTATCACATCTCTGTGTCTTTGGGTGTGGGGTCTATGTTTCGATAGCTCAGCCACAGGAACAAAAACGGATCCACAGAGGAGATTGAGAGTTGATGTGGGTTATACGTCACCAGATATAATAAGATATTTTAAACCGGTAACTGGTGATATGTTTACGAAACAGTTTGCCAATTGTTATTTTAATGAGGATGAATTTCCAGTGTCAGGGGGAGGAATTAGAGAAATTCCTAAAGATATTATATGGTGTACACCATCGTTGTTACACCTTGATCCCCTTACAAATCAAAGAAAGCTGAAAGTTCAGAAAATTGTTTGCATTTTCATAATTTGGCAAACCAGTTACCAAATGTGTTCACAAATACGAGAAGAGTGAAGAAATCATATATACCCACTGAAAATGTTCCATCAAGAATTGATTTTCCTAAAGGACAAACTGATGTAGATATAATGAATGAACGAACCTATGGTTCATTTAAAGAGGGGGAGACCAGCGGGTTCTAAAGATAAAAATCTCTGAAAGAAAAAAAAATTTGGTTGAGCAAAATGGAAAGGTTCCAAAAGAACCTTATACTAAAAAATGTCTGAATGAAGACATAAATGTAAAGGTTCAAAAAGAACCAAATAAAAATAAGGATCAGATGACAAGAAGGGAACAAAAAAATATGAGATTTCAATTAACTACGCCTGAGATGAAAAATTATGGATCAGCAAGAAAATCAAAGATGTTGACGGAGTGTTCTCTTTTTCTGCGTCCAAAGAGATTGATCATGAAAATGATGATCCAGATCCAAGGTCTATTTTAGAGTCTAAGAAAAGATATGATCGGGAGGAGTGGAAGAAGGCCATTCAAACTGAATTACTCTCCCTAAATAAAAGAAATGTCTTTGGACCTATAGTCATAACGTCTGGGGTATAAATGAGTATTTGTGAAAAAAGTAAGTGAAAAGAATGAAGTAACACGATATAAATCCCAATTAGTTGTCCAAGGTTTTTCTCAGAGATCAGGAATTGATTTTGAGAAAACGTATTCTCCGGTAATGGATGAATTTACATTTATATTTTTGATGAGCCTTGCCGCATCAAACAATCTTGAAATGCATCTTATGGACGATGTGACAGCTTATTTCTATTGATCGTTGGATGACATATATATATATATATATATATATATATATATATATATATATATATATATGAAACTTCATGAAGGATTAAAAATACTAGAAGCATTGAAAGAAAAATTCAGGGAGATTTGTTTTGTCAAGTTTTACTATACGGATTAAAGCAATCCGGACGCATGTGGTACAAACCGCTTAAGTGAATATCTCATGAGAAAAGGATATGTGAATAATGTGGTATGTTCATGCATTTTTATTTAAGAAATTGTCATATGGTTTTGTGATCATTGTTGTATATGTAAATGACCTGAAGAATATTGGAACTCAAAATAAGGTTGATGATGCACAAATTCATATGAAAGAAGAGTTCGAAATGAAAGATCTCGGCAATACAAATTTTTGTCTTGGCCTCCAGATTGAGCATCTCAGAGTAGGAATATTTGTGCATCATTCAAATTACACAAAAAGTTATTAAAATACTTTTATGGAGAAAGCGAAGACTCCTTTGAATACCCCAATGGTAAATAGATTTCCCGATGTTGAGAAATATCTTTTTAGACCCTGTGAAGATAGCAAAGAGATATTAGGTCTTTAAATACCTTATATGAGAGCTATAAGGGGACTTTTATATCTTGCAAATTGCATAAACCTGATATTACTTTTGCTACTAACCTACTTGTAAGATATAGTTCTGCTCCTACTTTTAGGCATTAGAACGTAATAAATCATATATTTCATTACCTTCAAGGTATAGTTGATTTAGGGTTAATTTACTTTAGAAAACTCGAGTTTGGTATGGTTGGTTTTACAGATGCATGATATCTATCAGATCCTCATAAAGCTCTGTCGCAAACTGGCTATGTTTTTACGATTGGTGGAATTATGATCTCTTGGCGTTCTCAGAAAAAAACCCTGATTGTAACGTCTTCAAATCATGCAGAAACTATTGCGTTTCATGAAACATGTCGAAAATGTGTGTGGTTTAGATCAATGATTCAACACATACAAGATGTAAGTGAAATAGTTAACAAGAAAAAACCGAAAAATATATGGAAACAATTCGCTTTGGGTCGTTCAACTCAAAGAAGGCTACATCAAAAGCGATCAAACGAAAAACATCCCTCCAAAATTTTTTTATATATACGGAAACTCGAAAAAATTAAAAAATGAACATTGAATATATCGGTCATACGACAATTCGTCTGATTTATTCGCAGAAATTTTCCCACTACAATATTCTGAAAACACATATATAGTATCAAAATACGACATTTGAATGATCTCTAAAGAAAAATTATATTCTTTATTTTTAAAGGAAGATTACGATATTATATTTTTTTCTTTGTCATAGTTTTTATTCTTTAAATTTTTTCTATAAATAAATTTTAATGAAATGGTACATAATTAAAATTGGATAATCAAGGGAGAATTTTACAGATCTTACCAAAAGAAAAGGGTGACTATCCAACTCTTTTCGCTGAATGCCAGTCTGCCACTATAACACATGTTGTTCTATTATGAACGTAAAGCTACGTGTTGTTAGTTTCATTTTACTATAAATTGTTATTGATTCTTTACTTTGTATAGGAATAAGAATTAGAAATTAAAAGAGAATAATATAATTACTCTTTTCTTTCGTTCTCATATACACGAAATATGAAGTGATCACTAACTAGTTCTCTCTCGTTATATAATTTACAACACTAATATCATTAAGCTAACTCATCAAAATGAAAGATGTTAAAAAAAACAATAATTACATGAAGGAATCATTATAATCAACAACAAAAAATATGAGAAAGAAAGAACCGTGGCCACAGGGAAGAGGTTTGTAAGTTTTAACGGTGCGTTTTGGAGGGTGTCGTACGGACACAACTCAAAGAGGCACTGTCGATTCCACATCACCTCTTGGCGGATCCAACGAGACACCCCAACAGTAACACAGAGAGATCTGAAATAATAATTATTTTTTACTTTTTTTTTTTTTTTTTTTTTTTTTTTGGTCAAACTTTTTATTTATTTATTAAAATTAGGTTTTATTCTTTCTTTTCCTTTCTACATCGTCACCTACCTACCTAATCTCTCTCACTCACTCAAACCCTCGAAAGTCTGCGAAGACAACTCTTGAAGCGTCTCTATCTCTCTCGTCTTGAGCTTTCTCCAAAGGTTATAGATTCTCCCTCTTTTCATTTTCTTTCATTTCAAATTTACGATTAGATTTTTAGATTGTATTGGAACATATACCATCTCTGTAACTGGATTGGATTCCCATTCTTAGATCTGAATCTTTTCTTAGAACTGACTCTCAATCTTATAGTTTCTGCCTTCATTGCTTATTATTGTTCTTTGTGAAAACAGATGGCAGCAACATCAGCAGCTTCTTCGATCTCAATTGGATCAACCGTTCCTAGACCCACCTCCGCTTCCTTACGGCAGTCAAGGGCACAATTTGTCAACCTTAACTACTCTCTCCCTACTTTCACCGCTCTGAGATCATCCTCTCTCCTCTCCGGACCAGATTCCTCCTCTTTCACCACCTCCCTCCGCACTTCCGTAACAAAATCCCAGAAAACAGACACCAAGCCTTACGGATTAAACATCAACGCTTCCTACAAAGTAGCCGTCCTCGGTGCTGCAGGAGGGATCGGTCAGCCTCTCTCCCTCCTCATCAAAATGTCTCCTCTTGTCTCCACCCTCCACCTCTACGATATCGCCAACGTCAAGGGAGTCGCCGCTGATTTGAGCCACTGCAACACTCCTTCTCAGGTTCGTGATTTCACCGGACCGGCTGAGCTGGCTGACTGTTTGAAAGATGTCAATGTTGTGGTTATCCCTGCTGGTGTGCCGAGGAAGCCCGGTATGACCCGTGATGATCTTTTCAACATCAATGCCGGTATAGTGAAGTCGCTTGTTGAGGCTGTTGCTGATAACTGTCCTAATGCGTTCATCCACATTATTAGCAACCCGGTGAACTCCACTGTCCCCATTGCTGCTGAAGTTTTGAGAAAGAAAGGTGTTTACGATCCGAAGAAGCTCTTTGGTGTCACTACTTTGGATGTTGTGAGGGCAAACACTTTTGTTGCTCAGAAAAAGAACTTGAAGCTCATTGATGTGGATGTTCCTGTCATTGGTGGGCACGCTGGAATCACCATTCTGCCTCTCTTGTCGAAGACCAAACCTTCTGTCAGCTTCACTGATGAAGAGATTGAGAAACTCACTGTTAGGATTCAGAACGCTGGAACTGAGGTTGTGGATGCTAAGGCGGGTGCTGGTTCTGCTACTTTGTCGATGGCCTACGCTGCTGCGAGGTTTGTGGAGTCGTCTCTTCGTGCTCTTGATGGAGATGGAGATGTTTACGAGTGCTCGTTTGTGGACTCTACACTGACTGATCTACCTTTCTTTGCATCACGGATCAAGCTTGGGAGGAATGGAGTTGAAGCTGTGATTGAGTCTGATCTCCAGGGGCTGACTGAGTATGAGCAGAAGGCGTTAGAAGCTCTTAAGCCAGAGCTGAAAGCTAGCATTGAAAAGGGTGTTGCTTTTGCGAACAAACCTGCTAACTAGATGATGATTTCATCTGAGAAGAACATGCTTTTGCATTCAAGGGGACAACAGTTTTCTTCTGATCGTTTTTGAGTTTTGTTTTTGTTCTTTTATCTTTCTTGCATCGGCGAGAGATTTCTGGTTGTAGAATAAAGAATGTATTAGCTTCTTCAGTTCTGAAGATTTTGATACATGACATTGAAGCAGACTTTTACGATTCAGCACCAGAAGTCATTACAATAGCATGACCCACCTTTATAGTGATGAAAACAGCAAAAGTCTATAATGATAAATTTACAGACTGATATTATTAGCAATCAACACAAGTTTGGAGATTCTTGGTCATTTTAGTGGTTCATCTGGGTGGAGTCACTAGAACACCAAACGCCATAGCCAGCTTCTTGCTATGGTATGTGAACGCTGGTCCTTTCTCTTCTTCTGAATCAAAATTGTGCATTTCCGCCACATAACCTGGCAAATTTTCAGCTGCTGATCTCCCCGAGCATTTTTTGATCTCTTCTTTCCGCTATTGCGAAACATCATCTACGTTAAAGTTGTGAAACGGTTCCATGTAGTAGTAAGATGGCACAGCATCCGGATTTGGTCTGGATTCTTTTCTTCTTCATTGCAGTTGTCCCTTTCTCTCATTTAGAGTATGTGTTGAGTAGCAGAACGTAATCTCCAGCTACTTGGGCTTTAGGTTCAAGATGAGAGATCACAAGTTCCAAAACGAAGCTAATTACCATTCTAAACCAAACCAATTTCAACTTTTCAAGATAAACTACGCGATGATTGCTAATTAACTTAGGCTTTAACTGGTAACCATCAAAGTAATATGAGGAATAAAAAAGAAAGAAATGAAAAGAAAAAAAATAAAAGGAAAATCTATTCCCCTTCTAATTTGACGAGGAATAATTGTAGTCTTTTATTCCTTAAATCTTAAGGAATGTTAAAGAATTATAGGTAACAAATATTCCTTGTAAATAGTGTAAATTGTAAGGAATAGTAAGGATCTGATTATTCCCACTCATTCCTTTGGTCACCATTTGGAACCTTAGACTAGACCATGACCCGTCCGACGGGTGTTTTGTTTTCTTTTAATTTTTAGGTTTACACTAAATGATGTAAAATAAAAAATGAAGTATCAATAAAATGGTTACAAATTAGTTATGAGTTTAATTTTGACAGAAGAATACCGAAAGTTTGTTGTTTGATCCGCGCAAGTGTTTGTTTTTATATATTTTATAAGTGATAATATATATTTCTAAATTTACCCGTTTAAAATGATCTTTTAAATACACAATTTTATAGTTTATATTTAGTAATTTTATTTTATCTTATAAACTATCATTGTGTCATACTTATTTTAAAAATATGACCCGTATATCTGTACAAATGTATTTATTTTATTTTTATGGATCAAAATTTTATGATAATGTATAACTAAATTGTTTTATTTACTATTTAAAATATATGGTCCTATATATTTCTACTTTTTAACTTTTATTATTCTGAATTTACCTTGAACTATTATTTATATAAAAATATACATAACATGATATGTTTATATTAATCTTTTTATTATATATTATATAAATGTTTCTTTTTGTGACTTTTATTTTAGTTATTACTTATAAATAATAAAAATATAATTATATATCTTTGAAAAAAATATTGTTCATAAACTATTTAAAGATATGTAGATAATTAATAAAAAAAAAATCCTAAAAGGTAGGTTAATTAATATTGGAATTAATTATTATGTATATGGAATTAGTAAAACAATTTCTATATAATTTATTTATTTAATTACGAAAGGTATATATGAAAATAATTATTTTCATTAATTATTGTTGCCATAATTTGTTTTAGTTAAAATTTGATTTTGAAAATGCATTAATTAAAGTGAAAAGACAAAAAATCTTATAAGATAGGGTAATTAATAACTTCAGTGGCATAACATTGTAAATAATTAGAAAAACTCAGAGGTATTTTATATGGTACTTCTCTTTTAATAATATAGATTTGAAGATATCTACTACACTTTATACCGTTAACGTGTGGCCACGTGAATATAGATCAATTACTTATGGTCTATTTAAATTTCCGGAGAGTGTACATACGGATATTGCACTTCATATTGGAAATTAGTTTGTGCTTTCATATTGGAAATTAGTTTGTGTTTTTGCATAGGTGTGTAATACTCTATACTAATTAAAAACTAGAATTTGACTCACATATTCATACAGATACTTTATATTTTATAAATATTTAATTTGATATCATCATGAAAGTTTTAAATATATGATTTATACTTAGACTATGACTATACAGTCATTCTAGCGTAACTTTTTACTCTCCAGTGTTATTTAGAAAAAATTCTTTAAAAATACACAGACTGATTTACATTCACTAATAAAATACACGGATTATTTTGGATTCTCATTTAATACACGAACTAATTTGCGTTACTTATTATTCGCTTACAGAGCAAGATGATGCTTTTGTTATAAAGGAATTCCGATTATCTCTGATCGGTAAGATCCTTAACCCCAAGAAGCAGTGTCTTGAAAAGTTAATCCAGAAGATGCCACAGCAGTGGGATGTCTAAGATAAAATTACGGCTGATAATCTAGGCAATGGCAAGTTTCTGCTCAATTTCAACACAGAAGAAGACCTTAATGATGTGCTCCGAAAGGGTCCTTTTCACTTCAACTATTGCATGTTTGTATTGGTGCGATGGGAGCCTATTGTTCACGATGACTACCCTTGGATCATCCTTTTCTGGGTCACTTTCATTCGAATGCCATTGCATCTGTGGACAGACAGCAATTTGAGGAATATTGGTGGTAGGTTAGGTGAGGTCGATACCAGAGATCTCTCGGAGGGCCGCTTACTCATTGACATTGACTCAAGAAGACCTTTGAAGTTTAAGCAGAAGGTGCAGAGCCCAGACGGAGATGAGGTGACTATATAAATTAAGTATGATTTGCTCTTCAAACATTGTACAATCTGTGGTTTAATGTCACACGAGAAAGGTTACTGCCCAACTTCAGAAATTCAAGATCGTTCTCAACCGGAGAGAGGGGATGTATTCACTCGTGTCCAGCTACCACAACACCACAGTGATCATCAGTCTTTGCTGAGTGATCAACCAGCTCATAGGCGTGAACACAGAAGTTCATATTACGGTTCTGGACACCAAGCTTTGTTAGAACCGTCTAAGTCTGCTCATCAAAGTAGTAGACGTAAGGAGTTAGAGTATCGAATGGAAGACTCACGTACTGCAAACAATGGAAGACATAAGGTGTTCAACAACTATCATTCGCGTTATAGAGGTAATTCACAAAGATTCCTCAAACATTCTGATCGAATAATTAGAGGCGAAGAAGTTAAGATAAGTGATAACCATTCTCGCTATGCATACAAGCCGTATGATCGCAAGAGAGACCAGACTTTGCGCGAAAAGAAAAAGGAAAAGAAAAGGAAAGGAGTGGGAATATTGTTGATCGAGAAAAGGATGATCCTATATCATCCGGTGCAATTGTTTCTTATGAACAATCACGGCTTTCTTCTGAAAAAGAACCTGTGATCTCAGCTTCTCTAAAAGTCTATATGACATTTGTTTATGGGGATCTTGTACTAGAACGAAGAGATTTAGTATGAGAACGTCTTACGCATTTCTCAACAACAAGAAATGGACCCTGGTTTATGATATGTGACTTTGATGAAATTACTTGTCATGAGGATAAGGAAGGAGGCAGACAACGCTCAGATATCTTATTCCTACCGTTCAGGAAAATGCTGAGTGATTGTGGTATGATAGATTTTTCTTTTACAGGAAATATGCTTTCCTGGACAGGAAAAAGAGCAGGGAGAGTTACGGTTAGAGGTTGCCTTGATAGAGCTATTGGGAATGAGGACTGGCATGAAAAGTTCTCCCATTCTAAGGTGATGTATATGAGGCTCTGGGGATCGGATCATCATCCGATCTTAGAAGACATTCTCAAAAAGAAACCGAGGAGATAAAAAAATTTCAAATTTGATTAGAAATGGCTGGACAATGAGGAGCTCAGGCAGGTCATACTCGAGGGATGGAAATCACCGGATCTACCACCCGAGGCAAGTATTATGGACCATATTGCAAGCTGCCGGAAAGCCTTATGCGATTGGAAGAGACAACATAATCTGAATTCAGAGAGAAGTGTGAAGGAGTTAAAAGAAAAGGTAGATCAATTATCTTCAAACGACGATTCCACTACTGAGGAGATTGTGACAGCTTTAAATGAATTGTCTGACGCTCTTAAGGCGAAAGAGATGTTTTGGAAGCAGAAGTGTAGGGTCTTTTGGTTACGGGAAGGAGATAGGAATACAAAATTCTTCCACGCCCTCACGAAGCAGAGAAGAGTGAGGAATAGAATTACACATTTACTGGGTGACGATGGGAATATTGTTGAGGATGAGGAAGGACTGGTAGCCATTGCTACAAGTTATTTTAGACATATTTTCCAATCATCAAATCTGGAGGATATAGAGGAAGCACTATCTGAGGTTTCTACAACCATTACATCAGCAGACAATGATAGTCTCACGGCCTCAGTCACTAAATGGGAAGTTAAATTTGCTCTTTTTGCAATGCATCCAAAAAAGCTCCAGGACCAGATGGAATGACCGCTCTTTTTTATCAGAAATTTTAAGATATTGTTAATGATGATCTAACTCTTATGGTTAATCAATTCATGTTCTGGCCTAAATGATACAAACATATGTCTCATTCCGAAAGTAGATAAGCCGAATCAGACGAGCCAGCTACGTCCCAACAGTTTATGTAATGTTAGTTACAAGATAATCACTAAGGTCTTATGCCATAGGTTAAAAAAGCTTCTACCAGATAGGATCTCAGAAATCCAGTTAGCCTTTGTTGTTGGGAGACAGATCTCTGACAACATTATGATCGCTTAGGAGATGTTCTATGCCTTAAGAACAAAACCAAGTGGACGCAACAAGAGGATGGACATTAAAACTGATATGAGTAAAGCGTATGATAGAATGGAGTGGTTCTTCATCGAGGCTACCATGCGAAAGATGGGTTTCTCAGAAATCTGGATAACCTGGATAATGCGTTGTGTAACATCAGTCAAGTATAAGGTCCTTATGAATAGACAGCCAAGAGGGAATATTGTCCCGGAGAGAGGCCTGCGGCAGGGGTATCCTCTGTCCCTTTTCATCTTTATTCTATGCACGGAAGCGCTCGTTAG